ATAGATATATATATATATATATATATATATATATACTGTATATGTATGTTCACTATTAAACTAACTATTAGCATAGCATTATAGCATTGTTTTTGCATTCCCTATCTGAACATATCTTGAAGATATTTTTATGTTGAGAAACACTGGTCTAGTAACGTGTCCACCAGACTGGTGCTACCAGTCATCAGACTACGATGACTGTAGTAGCCTATCTGTTATTTGCACAGCTGCATTTGCGTGTGTCTTATATCTTCAGGTCAATCCCTTATACGTTGTTAGTCACCCTCTGTAATACTCAGCAGCTGCCGATTCATCTCAAAAGCTTTTGCACTGTTCTGTACATGTTTACTTTTACAGTGTATGGCAGTGTCGCCCACAAAGACTATAAAAAAGCTTGAGAACTAAAGTAGATATCCAGAGCATAATATTATCTGATGGCATATGGAATACATATGGTAAACATTCACATACAATCCTGTTTCTGTATAACAGAAGCACAGAATTTTGTCTTTTGTGTGCTATATGACTGCTGGACTGCAAGTGCAACCAAAATAAAATATCTGTTGTTTCAAACCTGTATGGTGTTTTTTTTTCAAGTGGACACAAATATACGATTTTTTTTAAGAAATAAGAGATCCCGAGTTCATAGTGAGCAAGTAATGTCAATCTCCAAACAGAACAAAAAAAAAGTTGTCCATACAAATTATAATTTATTATATATATTTTTAGAATCCCTGAATGGTTCCAACTCATAATCATAATCAACTCATATTCACCACCATTCTAAACTTTGGGGTCTTTAAGTATTTTTTATGTTTTTAAAATAAATATCTTATGCTCACCAAGGCTGCATTTATTTGATTACAAGTACAGTAAAAACAGTAATATTGTGAAATAGTATTACAGTGTAAAATAACTGTTTTCTGTTTGAATGAATTTAAGAAGTAATTTATTATTGTGACGGCAAAGCTGAATTTTCATCAGCCATTACTCTAGTATTCAGTGTCACATGATCCTTCAGAAATCAATGTAATGTTTATATGAAATGGAAATATATTGTTACAAAAATATCACTTTTGATGAATTTAAGGCACAATATGTAAGAATTGTTTATTAAAATATCCAAAAAAACACTAGAACGGTGTTATATATTTTGCTGACTTGTGTACTTACATTATCCCAAATGTTCTGAAGAATGTTTAAATCCAGAGAAATAAG